GAACCCTTTCATCGTGCGATAAATCATGAGGAATACAAGACCGCAACGTGACCCCCGGATATCAGGATTGTAGCGCAGCAATCGGACAGCGGTTATCTCCATCGTCTTCAATATTGGCAACCTTGCGAAGACGGAGAAGAATAATATGCGTGCGTTGATAGAGTTCTACAAGATCGATTGCTGTCTGGCCAATATCGACAGCCAGTACTATCCCCAGAGAAGCGATTGGCAGACTCGGCATGCAGATAGCCAAGTACAGCGTATCAAAAAAATCAACGTACATACCACTTCTTCCGGTATGATATCCCATTTGTGGGAGCCCAGACACGCAAGGATTTTTCTCGAGACGATCTTGAAAGCTGGTAGCAACAGAAGAGCGGGTATTTCGTAGACAGTCTACACGAAGACGCTCTTGAAGCCTGAGATCACATCGAGGGGCAGGTACATGTATCGACACTTAAGTACTTGGGACCCTTAATCACCTGCATGAATATCTTTCATTAGGCTCACGCGAACGCACCCCAAAAGCTTACTACGTACGAAACTACGAACCTACGAATTAACTCTTCATTGTGTATGGAACAAAATTTTAAGTGCATGAATACCCTGCAGTTCATCCGTTGTGGTGGCATATACTCTATTGAGCGTACACTATCGCTAGCGGAGTTCACTCGAAAAACGTCACTCGCTCGTGTAATCTTGCTGATCATAGCCCCACCGCTGGTAACAATGATGACTGTTGTCTAGAAAGCATTCCGCTACAAGATCTAATGGCAGGGTGGAAGGAGAATTACGGCTTTGGCCTCGTGTGGGTATGCTTGGAGCCACATTAAGTTTTGTGATGGCAGAACTTCTTGGTCCTTGGCTTGGAGTACCAGCGATATCTTCGAGGCAAAAGTGTAGTAGGTTTCGGAGCACTACAAAGGAAGCTGGCGCTTCCAGGCAAACCAAAGCTCTGTTGTTGGTTCTTAGTTAGATGCCTAAGTGATCTCAGCGGCCGCTCGGTTGGCTGCGTTGGTTTCGTAACCTATATCCTATTGTTCTTATCCTGTGCCAGCTCGACGATGTCTACCAATCAACATCGTCCGGTGAATGGGCAAGGCTTGATCTGTTAAGCCACCACTACACCGCCCACCCAAGCCTTTGCCCAGTCCGTCAGGTGCTTGGAATATTGTTGAAAATATAATTGTCGGAAAATAAATTTTGACCCATCTTCAGAATCAGAATCAGAGCTCAAATTGCGGTCATCATGTCTGCAGCCTTGTCACTTGGTTCAAATCAAAGGCATGCACTACGTTGTCAGTCTGCCGATGTGACGTTCGAGTCGTACATCTTCACGCGATGTTGCAGACTGATTCAGAAGTGCCGGTATGTCCTTTGCTAGAGATTTGGCAGACTCCCATGAGTCTTCGATTGGCTCCAAACCTTTCCAGTTAGCGAGAATGTCGTAGTCCTTCTTTTGAGAATTTCATTCGTAGTCTAGAAGCTCATTAACTGCAAGGATTTGACCCTGAGCAGCTACCTGCTCACGTATTTCCTCAGTGATGTGCAACGAGTTGTCGGCATTAAACTTCAAGCGCGAGGGGTGAACGTCCGTCCCCTCCCCTCCCACTAGATGTCGTACCACGAAAGAGTGTACGTCCGCTCGCGTAATCTGATACGTTCCTATCCATGTAACTATTAGTTTTTCTTGGTGCTTATGGTCCACCCTTGACCTCAACACGTAATCACCCACGTCGAAATTTGGTCGCTGTGCGTGTTGGTGACGCCGCTGGTTGCGCTCTGTCTGTTGATCACGTGCAGCAATCATCGGTTTGTGCATTGCAAGAATACTAGACTTCATTGCTGCAAGCCACGGTTCAATGTTGTAACGGGGTACGTAGCACTAAGTGTACCCTGGTTACATGAAGTGTGACACTTCACACTTCAGGAGTATGACATGTCATACTCCGGAATATTTGGTACAAGGTACCAAGGTCATCCATTGGTTAAATGACATTGCATTTCTATAGGTAACTGATAGTTTGTATTAACCACAAACTTAACCTACCTATAAATATACTCAGTTTACAATCTACCTTATTTAGGTCACTTCGCTCTCTTTAATTAAAGAGGGGACCTGTGAACTGCCGTTCACTGAGAGTTTGTATACTCTCGGAAGATAACTTCCTCTAGCGCAAGGTGCTGTGTGACCCCGTCACAAATGTCCTCCGGCTGCTCAGGTAATGCCAGTATTTTCTTCTGTTTGGTATCCACACAAAAATCTAGGGGAGATGGAAGCGGTAGTCCACAAAATAATTCGACCGGAGCTTTGTTTCTCAGCGACGGGACAGGTGTATGATTTAAATTTCCTTGCAGTATTGAAAACAAAAAATGTCCAATCATGAGTGTCCACCTCGTATTCGAGGCAAAGTGCTCGTAGCACCTGCACAATGTCGCGATTTGCACGCTCAATGCTGCCGTTTATCCACGGCGAGTATGCAACCGTGAACTCTTGCCGTGACTTCAAACGCCGACAAACTTCCGCCACCACTGCATTCTTGAAATGCGACCCTTGATCGCTAATCCACAAAGGCGGTATGCCAAAACGACTGTGCCATGCGAGAATGGCTTCTACGGCAACTGTACTAGTAGGACTTAGCCATGGTGTCAGCTCACAATAATGTGTCGCTTCATCTTTTAGTACCAATAGATAACTGTCACCAGCAAAGCTATCACCAAGCGATAGGTAATCCCAATGAATTGCAGCATTTCGTTCGTTAGTTCGATATGTTCCCCCCATGGTCTTTGGATCATCTTACCACCCTTGACGTGATGGCACAATAGAAAAACCGATAGGAATTTCTCCACCCGCGCTCGAAGGCGGACCAGGTAAGCAAACTTCCTAATTGACTCAGTTGTGGCATCACGCCCCCGTTGTCCCTGCGGTCCACAATGGGCGACAACCAATATGCGTTGGATTAAATCCTCCTCTTTGTCTGGTACCCATAATTTGTCGTTAATGTACCACCATTCCTCATCGCTACAGTTGGCTCCTTTCGGCCGTCGTACCTTTTGCCTCGCTTGTGCCTCAAGTATGGCAGCGTGGGTCGGCCATTCGAACTTTGGGTCATTTAAAGGTCTGATAGAGCTTTGAGGTAGCGTAGGAGTAGGTACAGACTCACGTTCTGCAACTTTGCCCCTCCGTCGAGTTCGTTTTCTTAGAGGAGCCGCGCAAGAAGTCGAGGTTGTAGGCCTCTTTCGAAGTGTTACCACCCGTAGGTGTCCTTCTTGCACATGATTTCCAGCCCAGCGAGATACCATATCAGTCCAAACATTCGATTCTCCGTCGATGTGTTCAATTTCATATCGATACTCAGCAATTTTTGTTGCCCACCTCAGTAGTTTACCACGAATATGTTTTTTTTATCTTCACGCCAGGTGCAAACACATAGATTAGGTTTCTATGGTCACAGTACAGCTTAAACCCGCCAGGTCGCAACAGCAAGTAGCTCAGTCTATTGCACGCACAAACTATGGGGTAAGGTTCCTTTTCGATTATACTCCAATGGCACTGTGAGCCTGTAAATGTTCCGCTCAAGCATGTGAGAAGCTGGTGTTGCTGGTGGTGTACTGGCTCACCGGCTTTCCAGTCGCTAACTTGGGTTACTATGAGTCTCCAACCAACATCACTAGCGTCAGTCATCACACACATAGTCGCGTTTTCCTAAGGAAAAGCGAATGTAACACTTTGCTCCAGCAGTAGTTTTATTTCATCGTAGGCCGTTCGTTGTTCAGCGGTCAAACAAATTGCAAATCCAGCTGCAATTCGTTTCGAACGTTTCGTGGCGCTGACTAACGCTGCATCTAGTGCATCTTGGAGTGGTCTTGCTCTCCTAGCGTAGTCTATCAAACTTTCACGCATCCAGTTTGTTGCACACAGAAATTGCTGCAATTCACCAGCCGTTCTCGGATATGGGAGGTTCTGCAACGAGCGCACACGCTCTGGATCATGACGCACACTAGAGCCTGAAATAATCTTCCCACACCACCGTACTTCACTCTGGAATAGCCTAGACGTCTTAACACTCAGCTTAAAACCGAAGAAATCTAGTAGCTCGAATAGCCTCTCCAACTTTACCGAGTAGGTACGGATGTCGTCCGCGAACAACAACAAATCATCTATCCAAACCAGGAGATGACGGTGGAGAAGCTCCTCGAGACACTTCTCAATTGTAGATTGGAAGAAAAGCGCAGCATCTGTACATCCTTGCGAAACGCGCCTCGGGGTGTACACCTTCTGATGCGTCATGTATGATATCGTCTCTTGACATTCTTCTGCAAGTGATATTTGCCAGTAGCCTTTGTTAAAATCAAAAATTTCAAAACACTTGGCTCCTTTGACTGCTTCCAAATCCGTCTGTAGGTCAGGCATGATTCCGACTATTGCTTCTACTAGTGTGTTCATAGGTTTGTAGTCGGAGTCACCGGTAATGATAAGACACTCAACCGGCTCAGCAACATGGACACTCCCAGCAATGGTTCGCAACCTCACATTCAGTTTTACAGACCAATTTACACAAACGGATGTGCCATCGTGCACGTTAAAGGTTCATCCAGCTTGACACGCACGATGTCCGGTTTCACATTTTGCAATCGATCAAAACAGCTCTCATCTAAACAGCATCGGTCTGCTCCACTGTCAATGCAAAGGAAATCACCACCTCATCTTCCAGTACAACAACTCGATCCTGCTTGGGAAAACATTCTCCAATTCGTTTCAGTTTAGCGGTGCCTCCCTTGGCTGTCTGAATCTCCTGTGCTGTCTTTTTTTTCGATCCGCGAGCAGTTTTTCACGCTCAGCTGGGGTAGCCGTGGGGCATTTGAACAGATAGTGTGCGCCACCACAGTAGACGTATACATCTTTTGGCACTCCTTTGGTGACAGCACGGCCAGACCGACCACCTTTCTGCTGGGACCGCTCTGTGTCCTTCTCTTGCTTCGCTTTCTTAACCGTCCGGTTATCCTTCTCGTCGTTTGTGCTGGTGGTGACCCGTCGGGGCACTGTGTTCTTTCCGTTGGTGCTTATTGTGCGATGAATTCGCTTTCTTCAAAGCTCGTTCTTCAATTGCTTGCTCCTTCGTTTTTACACGGATGAGCTCGTACAATTTACGGATATCGCCCTTCGCTTCCGGAACACGGTACACAAGCTCATTCTGAACCTTGCTCTTCAACCCTTTAGGAAGCGAGTTGATAATGAGCTTGCATTTCTCTTTGATACCTCGATCTTCCTCAAAGAAACCTGAAAACCCGTGTTTTTTTATCAACGAGTTACATAGGTGAAAGTATTCAATTACTCTCGCGTCGATGGCTGTGTTGTTCATGTTCATGTGCAACTCCTCGCGAAACAGTTCCTTCACGTCAGGTAACTCTTGGTTTTGGAAGCTGTCGGTTACTTCGTGATTCTTTTCTAACATAAAGTCATCGGTTGTACTGCTCTGATCCACGCCCCAACACACTTCGCACAAGGTCTCCAACACGTTGGCGTCAAAAGAACTCTTGACGCTCTTCATCACTGCAGAAACTTCTTCTTTTCCGTCTTTGCAGCGGTCTCGGGTGTACTCTTCGTACTCCTTTCTCAGTTTTAGCCACTCCATGAGCGCTTCTCGCGCCATGGAGGACACCCTGGGTGGGTTCACAATCGCGAAGATGGGATGTGGCACTCGTGCGGCCTGGTCGCTCGTCGTCGATTCCATTCGTGGATCTCCTCCTTGCCCCAGGCTGCTTTTGATCCGCTCGTCCGTTGATAGGTAAGTCTTCTGGTCCCCACCACTGTTCTTCGGTGTCGTCGTCATGCTTCTTCTCGTTCAATCGGTGTTGCTCAACCCGCAACTAAAGATATCTTTGTAGTAGGTTTCGGAACACTACAAAGGAAGCTGGCGCTTCCAGGCAAACCAAAGCTCTGTTGTTGACTCTTAGTTAGATGTCTAAGTGATCTCAGCGGCCGCTCGGTTGGCTGCGTTGGTTTCGTAACCTATATCCTACTGTTCTTATCCTGTGCCAGCTCGACGATGTCTACCAATCAACATCGTCCGGTGAATGGGCAAGGCTTGATCTGTTAAGCCACCACTACAAAAAGATAGCGTTCTGTGCTGGCGTGGGAAGCGCCTTGATTGCAGTGGGTATGGCAACGTCAGAGCTTTGGAGGCTCCATGTCTCATTCTTTATGATCTTGCTATTACCCTCAATGTCCTGGGTTTTCTTCCTGCTTCTTTATACGGTGGTAGTCATTTGCAAAATACAGCGTATTCTCTTAAGTCGTTACGAACTACGTCGAATGAACTGTGTGTCGTGTTTGTTGGGATCTATGATTATCGGGTACCCGGCCTTACCCGACTTTGAAGGTCTATTTTAGGAGTACTGAAGTGGTGCCTTTAATATATTTTCAATCTTCTAAAATAATGCTGACAGGGTAAAACTATTTGTACCGGTAAAATACGTCAGCAAGCACCAAAAGAAAGGTGGGTTCCTAAAAAAAATAACAATAACGCTTCCGAGCTTTTGAAATTACATGCAGCGGTCTCAGCAGTGGCTATTAATAGGGTGCAAAAGGCCAGCTGCATAAGTTATCGAAATGAATATTGGACTACTAAGTGACCCCTTCACAATTTTACTATGCATGGTGTTGCCTCTGGTTGCTACCTCCCTTAATCGTCACTTAGTAGCCATTTAATACTTTCTCGATAAAATGCCAATTCGGACTATGATCCAAAGGAAAACCGTCAGGGCCCTGTAGATCCTCGTTTGCCAGACGCTTGACTGACTTTGGCTTGCCCTCCAGAATACGTTTCTTCTCGAAGAACACATAGGCTGTACGGTACACGACGTTGGATGCGCCAGAGCTGGCACCACGCCTTAAGTTCATATAGCTTCGCAAACTGTTGCTGTTCACATCGCCTAGTGCTCGAAGAAAAGCCGCTTTTGTCACTATTCCTTCTCCCAAGAAACAGTTTATTTTGTTTCGGATGTCGTCGCAGTCGTCGAACACTGGCACAGTGCCATCGTCGTCAATATCTGGCAGCTCCACCTCTTCAATCCTCTTCAGAAACTCAGCTCCATCTTTCGATCTTTTTGTTCTTACTTCCTTTTGCTCAGCTGCTTTGCGTTTTCTGTCCTTGGGCTCCATAGCCTTTAGTTTCTCTTTCTCTCTTTTTTCGTACCGATCGAAGAAAATAGTCGCACCAATATACGTTGAGTTGACCTCTCCGCCGGTCAAGCGCATGAACTCCCGGAAATCGGTCGGTTCAATGTGGAGGAGGCCTAGAAACGCTGACCGTGTTAGCTCTTTGGTGGCTAGGAAGTTGCGGATCTTGGTTCGGATCTGGTTGCAGTTCCATTTGGGTATTTCGCGTTCCTTGACATGGGGTGTATCTTCAACAGTGGGGTCAGGTTTGACCCGCTTGGCTTGTACGATCGCCATAAAAAGCGGTTGATGGTCAGGATGTCTGCTTCAGTCGGAGACGAAGGGTTCTCAAGTGTATGTCCAAGTCCCTCCCACGTCGTTGGGTGGTTGCTCTCGAGAGTGGCGTCGATAGGCTCGACCGCGTTCAGCAGCTTTGAGATGTCCATGTTCAGGGGGTTTTGTGCCCCGGGGTTACCCACCCACCCACCCCCTTGACCCGACAATCAATAGCCCATAACCCGAGTCGCTTTCGATTGGACAGAGGATAGCCCAGGATTACTTAATGTTTTACTGAAGGCTTTTGAGCACCAGTAACATACAAAGGGTAAAGCGGTAAGGGTAAGAAAACCCATTACCCAGCCACTTCATAACACTCTTCTACCCACTTTAATCCGGGTTCTGGCCAGAGTCTATCCATGCTGGTGATTGGCGGGACTTTTCAGGAGTGAAAAGTTACATACCCCTGGTTACGACTCTTGCCTTCGTTTCTACAATCTACAAATTTCTAACGCGGATACAGATCTCTTTGTCGTCATCGATGGCGAGTGCGCTGCAGAATGTGCTGCGGCCAGGAAGTCGCGAGTTCTTGATCGTGCTGAATGTGGTGCTGGCGCTGCTGTTCTTCGTGATGTTGGCAGTCATCTACACGGAGCTGGAGGACTCGTTCCATGTGTTCGTGCTGCTTTTCCTTGTCGTGGGACTCACAGTCTCCATCAACTGGTTCATCATCGAAGCCAACAACCTCAAGCACACGCAAGTGGCAGACGGTGATAAGCAAAAGCAGAATCCCAATACAAGAGCCAAAACGGATTAATCCAGCTACAATGCAACAGAGAAACCAAAAGACATTACTGTTTTGCCATCCTACATTTCTTTCATTTGACTTATAACAACCCACCAAGTAGATGACTTCATCGTTAATATCGGTTTGGCTTACACGTCGTCGTCAGAAGCCAAGCCGAGTGTGCGTTTGCAGCAGCTCTTAGCAATGCTGCGACCGTAGGGGACGTACGAAAGTGTGTACCAGACGAGTGCCATGAACTGAATAATCACCGAGATCAGCACGAAGAACAGTCGATGGTGCACGTGATGTGAGAAGCACAGTAGCAGCGTCACGAAGATGAAGACGACGTAGACAACGGCCGAGTAGCGACGCTTGGAGTGGAACATGGTTTGTATCTGTTTCCATGGTCCCACGAAAAAGGTCGTGCAGCAGATGGACAGAATGTTGCCGATAGTGTACGCAATAGCGAATGGAGCCGGATTACCATGCGCCAGTTTAGCCAGTCGGAAGGTCGAGCCTAACGACAGCAAGAAGCCCAACAAGAAGCATGTGACGCAGCCGATCACACGCTCCTGGTACGACAGACTCGGGCACAGCCAGAAGCTGTTATTTGGTCCGGGCGATCCTTCCGTCGGCTGGCCACTCTCCGGGTCCAGCAGCTTCTGCTTCTGTGCGCGCAACGCGTCCATCATGGTGATCTGTAGCGGCTCCGATAGTGAAGCCTTGACTAAAGGATCTCGGCTAAATTTTGATCCATTTTGGTCGGACCAAAAGTAGATACCATCAGAATCAGATCGTATCCCATAATATCGTACTTATTCGGGATCTCGCCTCCACCAAACACCATTAAGGTATCGCCATGCGTCCGCTGCTACAGGAGGCGCAGTTCGCGTGCTTCGAGGACGACGAGGGCGTCACGTCTGAGCTGTCTACGCTGCCGAGCTTCGTCATCTCGAGTCCATCTGTGCGCTCACAGCCACCCAAGAGTTTTGCGCGTGGTACGATCCCTCCAACGACTATTTTAAATGTCATTTCTAACGCTCCTTTCTATTCCTTCTAGTACGCGCATTGGAATGCAGCGGCTCCGGGAGCTTTTACTTCCAGAACGAGACTTTACGTGATCGCTTTGTGTGCTGGCGTGTGCTGAAAAACGTGGTTTTACTGCGTGAATGGAGTTTAAACACGACGCTAAAGCAAAATGGCGTCCGCTTGGAGTTCCCCGCTCCCGTTGTGAGCACAGGAGTGTTCGCGGTCGAAAGCTGGGAAGACGATGCAGTCACTATCAACGTCGTAACCCACGCTGGAACCATCCACCGGTTTACTTACTCCGTACCGAGAGATACCGGTCTCAGTATCTTCTCGCAAGCCAATACCAAGGCCTTTCCCGAGCCAACACCAGCCACACGCAGTCGCTGTGACGTGATGCAGACGCTACACAGCAACGAGATCTTGACAGTCGCACTGTGGGTGAACGAGTACAATTTAGTACTAGGCACAGACAGTGGGCGCGTCCTTGGCGTGAACTTTGGACTGCCCAGTGACGCGAAAAAAGTGCAGGAATTTGTGTTCTCAGACGAGTCAATGGTCAGTTGGATCTGGCACGGACTTATCAGATCTACGACGGCTAAATTAAAGGGAATTGGGGACGATACCGAGCGGAAAAAGGTCGGAGCGGCGGTGGTAGCCATGACGTGCTTCGAGATCGAAGCAGAGGAAGAAGAGGATGACAAGGACGTGTGTGTTGTCACGGTGTCAGCTGACTGTGTGCTTCGAGTGTGGAGTATTGGCTCTCAGTCGTGTCTAGGACGACAGCAGCTGCGGTCTCTAGTGACTTGTCAGACATCTGAGGACGATAACGAGGACGCTGGTTGGAATGACGAGGATCTGGATGGTGATGACGGGTCCAGTGGCGTCGGAGTGTACGCTACACATGCCAAAGTGGTTGCATTGTCGGCCACAGAGTCAGATAATTGCAGATTGTTGGTGCATCTGGACACGACGGCAGCTCACTCGTCGGAGATTTATTTGCTAAGAGGAGACGTGCAGTCTGCTGCTGCGTCGAGTGCTGGAGGGGGCGAGGAGCTTGCGTTGGATACAGCCAGAGTGTTCACTGTCCAGTCTCCGGAGCTGAAAGCGAAGCGAGGACTGAAGATGGTGGACTTTGCTGTGGATAAAAACTTCCTCTTCTCGTCGTGGCGGTCGTTGGATGGCGACGAAGTGTACATCCATCCGAACCCGATGGCTCTTACAGGTCCTAGACGTATTCTCGGCCAACCTGTTAGTAGTTTGGACGTGCAGATGCAGCAATACCAAGTCGAAGACAGCAATTGGCTGTTTGATCTCAAGGAAGAAGGCGTGTTGACGCTTATTGACGACTTTTTTGCAGAAAGAATACTTGTACCGGGTCGATTCTCGAGACAGAACCTGTCTAATGCGATCGTGGAGGCACAGAATGGTAGTGTCGGTGGAGTCAGCTCGCAGTCGCCGTTTGCTCACCGTGCGCCTAAGTACAAGGACGTGCTGGTGCGTCTAGTGTCAAGCCGGTGTGTTGATGCGGCTGGAGCAGCTGCTGTGCGTAGTGGAACAGCTCCCAGTGTGTTGCGTATTAGAGTGTGGAAGGAGCTCATCGCGCTATGCACCAAGCACTGGCGCTGCGAGAATGTGCCGATAGGCTTCGCTACCACGACGAACGCGCTTCTTCCCGGCGCGCCAGTGATGCTGCGTCGTAACCGCGTGTCGTTGTTGTTCCCATCTGCGCCATCCATCACTGCTGCGTTCGTCCCACAAGCGGAGCAAGGCTCAACAACCGGCGAGTGTGTGGCTGACCTGGTTGCCGAAGTTCTTCCGGTGTTTGACGCGTTCCCGAGCCAGAGTTTCCAGTCGTTTATCCATCGTGAAGTCGCTGACGTAGCGTCCGACTGGAAGGTGGAGTCCTTCGTGGCGTTGGCACGTCATTGCGTGCGTCTCGGCTTGAATCCCAACTTTATTGCTAGTACTGCTGTTACCGGACAAGTTCTCAGTGCTGAGCTGGTTCTTACGCGCTGTATTCTTCGTCTCAGTAAGCTTCTGGGAGGCGATGCCGCCTTCCAAGACCAAGTGTTCAAAGACCTGGTGGAGCACTTGTTCCCGCTCGAACTGTGGCGTGGCGCAGGGGCTTACAAGCCGTCGTCACCCAAGCGAGAACGCGATTCCGACGACGAAATGAGCGACGATAAGGACGATTTCGTCATGGCTGATGCTGCCACGTCGACGGATTACTATTCGACCTCCAGAGCCTTCTTTGCTGGCCACGAAATGTGCTTTGCGTTCGACCAGGTGGCGTCACGGACCATCGACGAAATGTGCCTCCAATCGCTTCGTGTTGTGCTCTTCCTGGCGTATCTAGTGGACACTCGACCAGCTTTCCTGAGCTCGGCTACCTTGAGCCAGATCGTGCGTGTGTATCTGCCGAAATCGATCACAGTGTATCAACGCTGGAGACTCAGTCGATGGGTAGCCAGTCAATGTATCACGCAGCCGGTTGCAGACACGGATGCGTCTACCACGTCGTCTGGATCACTGATGCCGCCGCTGCTTCAGATGTTCCTTCTAGACGTCAACAAGAAGCTCAATCGGTCAGACAAGTTCAAGCGCGCTCTGTCCGTCCTCCAACTTGCCAGTGCTAGTAACAATGTGCGTAGTGAAGAAGCACACGGCGTATTGGCGACATTTACGCGCGAGCTCCTGCAGTACGTCTCTCAGCCTAACGACGCGTTGGTGAGGTTTCTCCAGAAGCGACAGCAGTTCCGCTTACTGCGCGCTATGTTCTGTTGTAACCTCAGTGACATTAGTCTACACGGTGGTAACAAGGGCGACGTTGCGAGCTCGCAACATACGGAACAAGTGCATCAGTATGTGCGCTCGATCGCGGAGAGTCTGGCCTGTGAAGGTCAAGAGGCTGCTTCGCGCGCTCACGACGATAAAGACGCTCGCGACCATGCACGTTGGTGCTTTCAGCAAGCGATCCGCTGCTTCAGTATCTGTCTATCCAACTTTTTCTTGGAGAGGAAGCACAGACATTCGCTGTCTGAGAAGGAGTTGGAGCAGTTCATTTACGACGTCGTGGGGCTGTTGAAGGAGACGGTGCCTCGTGGTCATTACGATCAGTTGCTGGGCTTCTTGTGGACTGTGGCTACGCAGGCATTGAGTCACTTGGCGCATCATGACGGCGGGCAAAGCTTCGCGGTGCAGTCGTTCATTTGGGTGAACGTGTTTAAGTACTCCGTGGAGGAGCGGCTATATCGAGACGCACATCTGGCGCTGATGCACACTGCGGAGCTGTCGGCAGCATTCGGTGCGGAGGCTGCAGATGCTGACGGTACAGCGAGTGAGTGTGTCAATTACCTGGTCAAAGAGTTGTTCCGTTATGGCCATCTGGAACTTATCTGCGAGTTGCAATGGGGGTCGTTGGAGTCGCATGTGGAGAAGTATATTCTGTGGCAAGCTGCGAATGCTACGGTTGTTCAAGGCGATGGCTTGGATGCCAGTGCCGTGCGATACTACAACTTGCTGTTCACTTTCTACATGCGCAAGCAACAACCGGCCAATGCGGCGTCTTCGCTGTACGCGCTTGCGCTTCGACTACGCCTGGCAGTATCTACGTCCAAGGCTGCGCTTGAGGCTCAGCGTAACGCTCTGAATGCTGCTTGTCACGCGTTAAGAGCACTGCCTGTTAAGAACCGCTGGTTGGTGCGAAAACTACACACAGAAGAGCTCAAACGTCCTGCGTTGGACACTCCCGAAGACAGCAGGTCGACACCCTCTCTTAGTGTTGTTACGCTTGAAGATATGCGTCGGGAGCTGGCTGTATTGGACGGTAAGCTGCGTTTATTGGCACTGGGACACTCGGAGAGTGTGCTCTTGAGTACGATGGAGGGCGACGAAGTGATTGCACTGCTGGTGGACGCTGTGCATAGTAGTTGCCACAATGGAAACACGACGCTGGCCGAACGTCGGAGAGCTGGTGTGCGCTCTATCGAGATGGCCGCGGACATTGCCAGTCGCACCTCGACGAGCCTGTGTGGCCTCACCAAGTCGTTGGCTCGCTATTGTGTTGCCAGCGAACACCCCGCGTCTTCCATCTCACGTGCGGACAGTGATTTGTTGTGGGAACTTCTTGAGACGTTGTTGAGCAATGTTGCATCGTTAGAGCAATACGAAATTGCAGCCGAGACGGTGTTGGATTTCTGGCAACAACAAGGACGCAAACTCAAGTTGCCTTTGTGGCTGAACAAGCGGTTGTCCAGCTCTACGTCTGGCAATCCAGCTAAACTGTTGCGACTTTATCTGAAACACGGGCTGTTGATTGAAGGCTTGCAATTGGTAAAGGGTCTTTTGCCAGATGACGCAACTATGCGTGGAGGAAACACCAAGTCGGTGTTCAGCCTCCAGTCGCAACTTTCGAGCACGAAACCGGAGTTGCCATGGATCCCGTACAACCTGGTTGACGTGTTGCTGGACTCGACATCTGCCGTGTTGAACCAAGGGAGTGA